CCCCCCCGGCCGCCCCGGGAACCCCCCCGGGGCCCCGGGCGGCGGCTGGCCGAGATGTCGCTCTCTCAAGATCCATAATCCCCCCGTGGGGACGTTGGGGCGCGAAATCTCACGTTCCGGTGTCTCTCCCGGGGGCGGAAATAGCGGTGGGAAAATCAAACCCGTAGGAAACGCTTCCCGCCCCGCGGGCTTCCCCGCGCGAGCCAGGGCGCGATCTGTCTGTGTGGCAGGAGCCGGTGACCTTCGAGGACATCGCCGTCTACCTGAGCCGCGCGGAGTGGGACGCCATCGCGGAGGGGCAGAGGGAGCTGTATCGCGGCGTCATGCTGGACAACTACGAGCTGTTGATGTCGCTGGGTAAGCCCCCGGTTTTCACTCCGAGGGGCGCAGCAGGGGCGGGGGGCTTCCAGCATGTTTGGATCCATCGGAGCTGCGCTGCTTCCGGCGCTTCGAGGGGATCAGCGCGGTTTGAACCGGAGACACGGGGTTGGGATAACTGCTCCCAGCCCCCGCGGTCCTGGGGGAGTTTTAGTGCTGGAAAAATGCAGGATTTGGGTCTCTCTGAGCTGAGGGCCGCCTCTGAAATGTAACGGCAGGCGAGCCGCCCGCCCTGAGGCCAGGCAGGACCTGGCCGTGGGCCAGCACTGCTCTCCCCTCCCCTGGGCGAGGAGGAGCAGGGAGCAGGCGAGGTGCGGGGGAGCGGGGCCATCTGAGGACAGCAGAGGTCCCTCAACCAGCGGGGGCCCTTCAGGGGACTCGCCCGCTGCCGGCGGGACAGGGCGGAGGCCTCTGATTGCCCGTGTGACGGGTCCGAGCCGGGCGCCTGGGAGGACGCCCCAGCCCCAGGAGCTGCTCCTAGGACGGGCCGCAGCTAACCCCTCGCTGGGGAGCCCGCCAGCGGTGCTGGGAGTTGGTTCCCGTACTCCCATCAGGCCTCTGCCCTTGTCCTTGTGAATAAGGGAATCTCTGGCAGCGGCTCTGACGTCTCTCTTGCTTTTTTCCACATTTCGGTGGTGTTTCTGCTTGGGCTCTCTGGTCGCGGTGAAGCGCGGCTTGGGGTGTCACCGAGAAGCCCTTTCTTTTCTCCTGTTAACGGTTTGTTCCTGTAGTTTGTGTTAGAACAACGCGCTCTGCTCCGCCCCCCAGGTTACCCAGGCCCCAAACCCGACATTTTATACCGGCTGGAGTGCGGGGAAGCACCGTGGATCTGCATGCCGCAGAGCCCGGCAGGGTGGGATGGACCCGACAGCCCCTCGCCAGGTGAGCGGGAACAATCCAAGCCCCGTAGGAGCGCTTACCTCCACGGGGAGCAGCGGCACCTTCCAAAGGCCGCCGGGCTCCTCTGTCACCGTGACCAGCACGTCTCTGGCCTTCCCGTCCAAATCCCTCCCCTCCTCGCTGCCTCTTTTGAGGTGTCTCCCCCGTTTGCCTCTGGCCCCGCAGCCCTCCCCGCGCAGGGCAGCAGCGACGTCGAAGGGAAGCGGAGCCTGCCTGCCGCCCCAGGCAAAGGCGGCAGCTCTGCAGAGACATTGCTGCTCCGCTGCTGCTCGTCCCCCTCGTCCCACGGAGCATCCTCCCTGTGAGCAGCGTTGGGGTTTTCTGGCCGCCGGCGGTGGACGGGGCTTCCTCCGGCCCCGTGGCTGCGGAGCAGAAGGGCTTCCCCCGCCGGGAAGGTGACGTCCATCTGGTTTCCCAGCAGGACACAACGGAGACGTGAGCTGGCTGGAGGAGCTTCCCTCAGGCTGGTGGCCTGGCGCTGGCGGGCGCCACGTGCCGGAGGAGAGGCCGCAGACCCCCTGCTATGGTGAGTCCTGGTCCCTCCCTTCCTCACCACCAGCCTCCGGAGCAAAGCCCGAGGTGGGCTCCAGCCCCGGCCCTGTCCCCAGCCGCCGCTGCCGCACCTGGTCATCACTGCTGGGGCAGGCAGATCCCCGGCAGATCCCTGGGCGGGGTGCGACTCTCCTGCCCGTCCAGGCGGAGGTCGGGGACGTGGAGCCCCCCTGAACTGGGGAGAGCGGCTCTTCCTCACTGGAGAGAGAGGAGGCCGTCAGCATCTCCCCGTCCCTTCAGCACCGTCCCCCTCTCCCCGTCCCCTCGCCAAGCCCCAGCCAGCAGGAAGGTAACCTCTTCCCAACGCTCTCTCGGCAGGGGGACGGTGTGTGCAGTGGCGTCTGCGCTCTAGCAGGCTGCTTAACAAGTTCAAGTCTCTCGGGGGTAGGAGCGAGTTGCCGGCAGAGGCGGCTGGCAGAGGAGTGGGGCCGGTGGAGAGCCGAGAGCAGGCACGGACGGCCTCGTGGCCTGGGAAGGAAGGAGCCGCAGCGGATACACAAGGTGTCACGGCAAACGTCACCCAAAGCGGAGGATTCCCACTTCATCCAGCGATGGAGCAGCAGAAGGAAAAGGCAGATCCTCGGGAGTGTCTGCGTGGTGACCCTACGGAGAGCTTCCAAAGGAGTCCCCAGAAAAGCCAGCGCAGCCCGGGAGAAGCGCCGTTTCCCCAAGAGAATGGGGAACTGTCTGTCGAGGCTCTGAACGAGATCGTTTGGAAAGACCACTGTTACTGCGTGATGAGCGAGACGCAGCTCTCGCGTTGCACCCCGCGTCCGTGTCCTCTGAGAGACCACGACTACTGCAGAAACCGCAGGGCTGGCGTCTCGGCGCTTATGGACCACGAGTACTGTCATGCGCGAAGGATTCGTTATCAGGGCAGAGTTAATAAAATCGCTCGTCTTACGGGTAAGGCTCGGGCCGTGCTTCGCAGGCTGGCAAAGCGAAAATCCCAAATAGGGCGCATCCTCCGGAAAGCCAAGCAAATCGTGTGGCGTTACAAGCTTCACGCCAACAAGAGGCTGGAGTTTCCTCGGTGTTCCTCTAGCGCCGGCTGTCTGTCCAACCCCCCCGTCCCTCCTGCTAAGCCGGAAGACAACTCCACGAAGGGAACGCGTGGGGCGTTTTGTCCTCCCGCGAAACGGGAGGCCGTGCCCGTCCCGCCTCCGAACCAGGGCGGCTCCCAAGGGCGGACGTCAGCAGCGCTTCACGCCCCCGCCGCGTCTTTCAAACCCTCGCCCTCAAACGCAGAGGTGCCGAAGGAAGCGCCGCGCCCCGAGGCGTCCGTACACCGCGAGGCGCTGAGGGCGGAGCTGATCCAGGGCCCTGACGCTCAGCAAAACATCGAAGGGTGCGAATTCGTTAACTTGAGACGCGAACTCATCAATTTGGATCACGCGTCGCTGCATAACGCCTATAAGATAGTGATGCGGACCGTCAATCATGTGCTCAGCTCCATACGGCACAACTTCGAGCTCGGTGGCTTGCCTCAGTGTAAGGAGGTCTGGCCCGTCATCATTCAGACAGACAGCTGATCGGAAGCAGGACCGCGGAATCGCTTCGGTTGGAAAAGATCTTTAGGATCCAGTCCAACCATTCGGCAGAAGGACGGCAGCGGGCAGCAGTGGCTCTTCCGTCAGCCGAGGTGAACGGCTGGGACCTCCCTCCCTGCGGCAAAACGGGCTGGAGCCGTTGGAGAGAAGAAACGCCGAGCAAGGCGGCGCACGGAGGCGGATTAGTGGGTATAAAACGCGGTGTGCGACGCCTGCTGGGGAAACTGGGATTGTCTGGGAGGCTGCGGGGAAAAGGCCCAGGGAAAGGGAAGGATCAGTGCGGGTAAAGGAGGAAGCTCGGGAAAACGGAGCGAAGGGCGAAGGCCGAGCAGGCAGCGGGTCGCTTGTTTTCTGCCTGGGCTGTGCCTGATCGCTGCGGTCTTTATTCTCATTAAATTATTTTAAATTATTGCCCGTGCTGTCGCGCTCTGGTCCGTCCACCCCCGCGCGGGCTGCGCTTGCAAGTGAAGGAGCAGCCGCTCTGCGGGCCCAGGCGGGGAGGATCCCCCGCGCCCTTCGGGGCACGGAGCTCGGCCGCCGTTAGTGCCGGGCTCTGCCCAGTGCAGGCAGCGCGCCCGGCTCCCTGGGTTTTCCCACTATTAATTGAAGCAAAAAGACATTTTTGGGGTGCAGTATTAAAGGGGGATTTTGCTTTTTGATGAGATGTTGCAGCTATCGCTTATAAAAGCAGGCGGGGGCGGACTGGGCGGAACCCCGCAGTGTTCTCTTTCTAAAACTACTGAAAAAAAAGCACCGTTCGGCAGATCTCGGCAACGGGGACGCCGCCGGGGCTGCCAGCCAGAGACCGGGCCCTGACCGGGGGGAAGCTCCCTGTGTTCAACCACGGGAGGTGCCAGGAGGAATTGGTGGATGTGCGGGACGCCGGCGAGGGAAGCGGCGGCAAGCCGGAGGCGGTGCTGGCTGGGCTTCGCTGGGAGATTGGTGGTATCAGACAAGGCAAATTTGGGTGTAAGTGTAGCAAAACTGGGATGAATTTGTAACGTTTTCTATCAGGAATGGTGTGGCCAGCAGGAGCAGGGCAGGGATCGTCCCCCTGTGCTGGGCACTGGGGAGGCCGCCCCTCGAATGCTGTGCTCAGCGCTGGGCCCCTCACCCCAAGAAGGACACGGAGGGGCTGGAGCGTGGCCAGAGCAGGGCAGCGAGGCTGGGGCAGGGGCTGGAGCCCAAGGCTGGGGAGGAGCGGCTGGGGGAGCTGGGGGGGCTCAGCCTGGAGAAGAGGAGGCTGAGGGGAGCCCTCATCG